GTACTTAAAAAGGTTGAAAAAATTGAAATGTTTACTGAGAACCTTATAAAATATTCCGAAATTTATACTACTACATTAGAAATTTCTGTAATTTGATTGGCTTAGAGCAGTGGTATTTCAGCTTAATTTGAAATACCTACATGTGAAAATTACAAACCTTTTGTGGGTAGTAGTATAAACAAATAATAGCATTATTTGTACATGATATTTGGCATAAATACCACTTGTGATATTTCAAAATTGTCTTAAATTTCACTCGCCTTACGGCTCGTGAAATTTCGTATAACAATTTTGAAATATCACTCGTGGTATTTATGCCAAATATCACTACAAATCATGCTATTACCTATACAAATTACGATGTCTAATAAATATATGAAATATAGCACTAGAAAATGTCTAGAAGAAACGATGTGAAGATATTTACCACAAGAAATATACTGATTAATGATTTTTGTAAGATCGATCAGAATGCTCAAACCATTATATGGTAATAAAATTGTTCGTAAAATGGCTTAGTCCTTCCTTATTTGTGTTGTCTTGCGATATTTGTTAATAGGCATGGATTTCAGCTTAAGAAGCAATCCTGAGCATGGTCTTAACGGAGTACCTCTCACAAGTCATTAAAAAAATAATAACAAGAATAGAGTACATGTAAGAGTAAGCCCGTTCTAGCTGAGTGTTCTTCGGCACCGCCAGAAAAAGAACTACGAGCTTTTTGGTGTTTTTCCATCAGACCCTAAACAGGGAAGAGTATCATTGTACAAAATAATACGCAAGATTAATCTTTATCTTGGACCATAATTGTAATTTTAAATTTTCCTGATTCATAATTCTGTCAGTCCCTCTACAAAACTATTTGACGAGTCTCTGATTATTCCGGTTTGCTATCATCTGACTTCAATTTACTTCATGCTGGAAAGATTGAGACTATATAGCAATAAAACTCCCAAATCATGGCTCATTGCTGTAGAGCGCGCTTCAGTCTTTGTATAAATGTTACAAAAATACGTTCAACCGACGAAGTCAATCTGTACGTTAACAAGAAAACAGAAAATCATAAATAAGGAAAGCTATGCCCTAGGCGTGTTAACTGTCAAGTGGACAAATAAAAGAAGACCAAAAAGACGAAGGTTTTGTGCGGAATAAGTTGTCTTTCTCTTTCTCGACACGATAAGCGCGCAACCACTGCTCGCTATACACAAAATCTCGTGGAACGCACTCTAATATGTAAAATGTTGGCACCAGACGTTCCGCACAACTATTAAGTTGTTATTGCCAAAAACGGTTGTGAAAATAACCGAACGTGATAGGAAGGTTTTCGTTTATCGAAGACTAAAACTAATTCGAATTGCCTTTCTTTCATGCAGGAATTGTCGAAGAAATCTCACGAATATTCAAGTTTGTTGGGTGCACTTTATTAGGGTGGCCTGATGTTTTTTATTCTCGATTCCCGCTTTTTCAGTCACTCCTAATTCACCTGTTACAGAAGAAACGTTGTGAACGTAACTAACTTATATATTTCTAAGCATGAAATTTATAGTTTCCTTTTGCATTAAATAATTTACTTCTCATCATTTCCATATATTATATTTTGATTATAGATCAGCTCAGATCACTTAGTTAAGAGAAACTTAAGAACAAGTAATCAACGTCTTGTCCACTTGGTGTTTGGCCGTAACTAGAGAAATCCCGTCGATGGCGGGGTTGAAAAAAAACTTGAAGACCCAGTGCAGTAAGATTTTTTGAAATAGATGTAGTAAACGTGAATTAGGTTTACAATTCAGATTCGATGATAACTTGAAATGTTAAGCAAAAGCTCTCTTGAACAGAAAATACCCTAAATTAAAGATGACACAAAATCGATCTTTTTATTGTGCAAACTTGAAGAAAACCGTCATGTCTGCCAAGTCTATGAAAACACAAACATAAAAGCAAATCTATGTATTGGCATGTTTACTTTCAACGGAGTCAATCTGAGCAAACCACTGATTTAACTTTAATTTTACTGAAGGATCAGTCAAAAAAAGCCCGAAATTTTTCAAAATATAAGTGACCGAACAATCCAATTTTCCTTTTTTCGTTGTTTTTTGCGGTTGAACGAAATTATGAAAGCCTTCATTAGCTTGATTGTTGTAGTCTTACTTAAAGATTTGGTGTGCGACACGTTGATGATACTTAACAAAGCCACGTCGACTAAGTTATACACTTACCTTTGAAATCTCACTGTCAGTGTTACACATATATAATAATGACATCCTTTAGTTTATAGCTGATTTCGGACGAATGAATCTTCCTTCTTGTTTTTTGTTAATGCCCTTAGCTAGAAATAAATCAAAGGTGGAAAACATGAAAATATACCCCAAATGATCGGCGACCATTTCGTGATTCTCTCAGATCGCGTATTCGCTGGCTAATTAAGTCAGTGGTGCGTCTAGTTGAGGGGAAGATGACTGGTGTTTTCGAATGTTTCGAAATGTTGTATACTTCTCATCATATGGATAAGCGGTAATCTTAGCAGGAAATAGTGAAAATATGCTGGTTGTATACAAACCAAATCATTGCCCCTTTTTGTAGACAAAACCGGTCGAACTTATCCAAAACACCGATTCCGCTCACGAAATCGGCTTCTTGCCGAAGAAAGCTCTCTGATCCTCTTTTTGGTCAACTTTAATTTATGATCATGAACTTTACTGGAATTTTGCTGTACCAAAGCATCCGTAATGTATTTACAATTGCCCATAAGTCGACTTTTATGAGCGACAAAGCCGCAAGAACGAGCGCGAAGCGTGAGAAAGTCGACTTTTCTCGCAATACGGACTTTTAGAGAGTCTATGATTTAACCAGTTAAGGAACACTACTACCGGTAAACTACTGGTTATTGTCCCCTCACGCGTGGCGTAGCTAACATCTGGCGAGGGGAGAAAAAGCTCCATACATCTAAGGGTATATTTCTGATATTTGTTGCTCGTGAAGGAGGCAAAATAAGCTTTTAAGTCATAGGTATATAGGTTAACTTTTCATAGCTTCTGTAGACACCTAACTGAAGCTGACGTTCATTTATTTTGCTTCGAAGAGCACTGCTCAGTTAGTCCTGGTAAACTAAAGACCCTAAGTTCAGTGAAACCGTGCACGCTCCAGCATTTTCAGTTTCTCGTTCCCTTGGATCAAATTGCTCTCGGTCATGCAGGCTCCCATTGTCAATATCTCCAACTCTAATGATTTATTGAAAAACTCTCCCAAAATAGAACTAACCAAGTCCAGAAGGCTATATTGAGAGTGCGTCAAAGAACAAAAAGTGCGAGGAGACAAAGAACTAATATACGCCCCAGGAAGCTTAAGTCAATGCAAGTTGTGTTGAATGCATCTCGTTCCCAGATTCACAGACTTCACAGAAATTATATAGTCAACTGTTCTATTTGATTATATTTACCGACTACAAATTAAACGATTCACAGGATACATGTTTCACTGCACTGCTGCCGCAGTACAATCAATTAAAACACAGCTGTTTGAAACCCGCACTTCTTTCCGTCATGGCTTAAAAGCTAAGCAAGGCGACTCAGACCGGCAGTGCAGGTAGGAGACGGAGATAATTTTTGTCCACAACGCCGAACGCACTCCTGATATTTGTTCAGCATAATTGTCTTGGAAAAAATCGTTTTTTAAAAATCTTTTTTTTATCCGTTCGGCATGTAAGTTTTTCATTAATTCTTGTTTGCCGCCCTATAACATTTACCTTTATTTCTGTAAAATTATTGTTCCCTATAACTCTCTATAATTCAGATACAATTACCCGTAAACAGATCTTGCAAACAAATCAAAGTCAGTGTTCTTTTCATTCAAGTTCGAAGACCGTGAAAATTCGAAGGGCGGTGTGTACAGGACCGGGTTAAACGATAAAGAATTGATTTCACAGGGTAAATGTGATATGTATACTAACAGAAAACTAAAAAAGACTTAGCTAGTTTTGAACTGAATAAAACAAGCTCTTAACAAGTAGACGTTCCTATTTTCACGTTTTGCATTGACATTTGAAAGAACAATCTGTGTCATACGAATCTGTCAGGGCTGTCTGTCCCGCTAATGTAACGACTAAGGAAGTAAAAATATGCAAATTGACCAAGAAGCTGGACTCGTGTATCTTTTTGTCATATTTGTTTTCATTTCAAATCTTTTGCTATCCTTGAGATTATCTGTTCAGTTCCATAAATTAAGTAATAAAGTGTCGAAAAGGGGTTACTTCCCTAATAAGCGTTGTAGTATGCGGAGTGATGATCAAAATATTGGTTTTATCAACTGACTGTACACGTGTTAACTGAAGTAACTTTTTCACCGTAAAAAGTTTGAAAAACTGACTTTTTGAACATTAACACCTCGTCGAATTCGGCGCTGTCCTCTCCTGATACTCAGGTTGTACTCTGACGAAGGATCTGTAGTGCTTGAAATGTCCCCAACCATAGCTTAATATATTTCTTTGCCCGCTGCGTCCCGGGTTTGCTTTCTCGTGCCCTCTCTTTTGTAAAAGTGTGTCCGTCGGGAACAAGGCGGCAATTCCCGTGAATTTTTAAATACCTGAATGTTATTGAAGAAAAGGATTCAAAATTTCAGTCTTGTTCATAAGTTTCCTTAGCGAAACTAGTTATCCAAACAGAGTCATACCATCGCTTATTAGATGGTAGTTTTATTCATTTTGGTATGAAAATAAGAAGCTTTAAACGAATCCAAAATCTTCGGAGAGCTTCTTATTTTTCTAACTCACCTGTCTTTCTTAGCAAATTAATTAAATTCCAAAGGGCAAGGTGAAAAGAAAATTAAAGGCAACCTTCTGCGATCAACCTGGTCGCCAGCCTCCCAGCACTTTCGGTTCAAAGCCCCAGGAGGGTTGCGTGACGAATAAAACTCGCTCACAAATTTGAGAAACTGAGAAGACCCTGGAGACAAGTCACGACAACGGCGTCAATCAAATGAGCCCCCCTCTAGGTAATCTTGAAGTTGCACAGTGTAGCGTGCAGTTGATGTGCAAAGCTTGGAGTTTTCTCATTGAACTTTGTGTGCTTTTACATATAAGGGCATCAATGTGACTTTTTCCGCTAATTTTCATCAAGAAAAAAAGTGACGGACTTTATTTTTGTCGGATCTATCGATACAGGTAGGAATGATTGCTTTGTAAGGCGATCTGGAACGCCAAACCTTCAAACATGGCAAGGTGTATAAACTTGGGCACGCCGTCGTTCGATGAACTTTGTGGTATATTTTGCTTATTTATCCTTGCGTTGCTTAGACTTAAAACGATGATCATTTGTCAAGGAATATTTATATTTCATTTTATGGACATGCAAGGGAACGAAATGTATTTATTTAAGGGTTTTGATCTCTTCGAGTTAAGGTTACTTCTTATTTAGCCACGTAAATGGCGGCAAGAGTAGGTTTGTCGCGGGAAAAGGATAAGCATAGAAATAACAGTTTTCTTTTTCTTTATTCAGCCTACTAATTTGTTATTTATCGTAGTTGAAACATATGTGATCGATTTTACAGCTGTTAAGATATAACAGCAACCTCTATTGATCATAGATTTTGTTATTGTAATTTTAATGTTGGCAGTACTACCTGTAGCGGTTCTTGTAGTTGTGCAATTTTTATAGCACACGCAGAAGCGATTTTGCGAAATTTATGCTTTGTTAGCAAGTGTTACAAAGTCAAGCAAGATATTATGAGAATTAAACATACATAAGCCTTTTGTTTTTGTGTGGATGTTTGAGTGGGGTTTTGAACGTCAGACATGATTTTGAATACTTCCATAGCTAGCTAGGCCATACTGTAGTTTCGAAGATGTGGGCAGGCGGACATCATGACCCTTCTGCAAATGCCCAGCAATGGTGGCCAATGTCTTACAACTACCAGTATCAAAATCCACAAGCAGGTAAGCATTGAGATCTTTTGCTTTTCAGTAAGAGGCATACTAGAAATATGCATCTTGCAACCCCTCAGGAAACTCAGTTGCGCACAAGTTAAGCCCTACCAGTTGCAGTTAAAAACTGGTTTGGGCGACCATCCTCGAAGATCCTTTCGTGGGGACTGCCACTCCCAGAATACCTTGCAGTACCAGTTTCCAGCATGGAAACTAAATGTATCTCCCTAAATAAAACAAAGGGACAAATCAAAAGCAAAACAAGGGAATGAAATTTATCTTTATAGTTTCATTGTGCTATGTTAGAGAGCAATAATTATTTTTCATTAGCACTGAATTCTCATACTAATACAAGGTTTTTGTTAAAAATTGCTACAGTGAGTCCTGGGAGTCAACTAGTGAAAATAAAAACAGACAAACAAACAAAAATGAGCACCAATACTGAAAATAGTAGTAGAACTTTTCATTCCAATCATTGTCAGAAGCAGTGTCAGAACTGTACTTGAAGCTCTGCTATGAATACTGTCACCCATGGGAACTGTCACTCAAACAGAATATTGGTAATCAGTAAATCATGCTTAATTGTGTGCTTTGAATTACTGGTATTTCATGGTTTGGGGGGATTTTTATACATCAATAATTCAGAGATAAACAATCATTGCCCTTATTAAATAATGTGGAAAGTAAGGTCATAATTTGGCGTCAGGTAAAAGCTTGTTTATTCCACCTACATACATTCTACATGTATTCTTTTAATTCCGATCCCTGGTAAAGGGGCAAGTCTTAATGAGGGAATTCTGCAATTACTCCTAAAGGACACAAATGTAATAATATGATAATCTGGAAGACAGATCAGTTTTAAAGGTGATTTGATTGCCGCTAGTCCATACTCCTAGGCAACAGAACACAGTATACTGCAGTGCTGGGAGAGTCAACTTTTACTCTTGTTTTCTGTCAGTGTATTGAGTGTGAAATGTCAGTGTGTGTCTGTGACGTGCTTGTATTCATTGTAACAATGTGTTTTTGTCTTTCTTTGAGTGTAAAAACTCTGAGGTTAAGATGTACAGTAAGTGCTCAAAAGATTAAGGGAGAAAGGTGTACTCAGATTAAAGTTGCATTCAATTTCAAAATAAACTAGAAATAAAAAACCATGCACAAGTGTAGGCTGTCATGTATCAATTCGGGGTAAAAAGTAATAACATCCTAAATAATGTTTTCTTACCATGTGAGGTAACTTTGTCAAAATAATGTTTTGTGTTATAAAAGAGGTAATAGTATTGAGAGGTGTTAAGGTGAAAGCTTTTTTAACATTTAGACCCAAGCCAAGACTGGGCAGCCAAAGCCGCATTATGGGCTCAGCAGAGAATGGCACAAGAGCAGATGGCACAGTACTACCAACAACAGCCTCAACCACCAGTGAACCACTCTCAGATGTATCAGCAACCTGTATACAGTGGCTACCAGCCAGATACCCAAGCGAACATAGGACAACCACCCCCTGCTAATGTCAACAATCAACAGTTTCAACCAGAGGTTCAAGCACCACCAATGCCGCCAGTGGAAGAAGGCGAACCACCAGTCCCAGGATGGCAAGGTGAAGAGGGTAATCATATGGCTGATAACATCGAAACAGTAGCCATGGATGATGAAGTAGAGGAAAGAAATGGAGCTGAGACTCGAGAGGTTACAGACCATGCTCACGTTGAGCAGTCTCAAGAAAGAGAAAAACAGATCACGGTCACTCAAGATTACAATCACCAACCTCCACCAGCCCTACAAGGAATGCAAACATTTGACCATAATCATGGGTTTAACCGGCCTCCTCCACAGCAGCAGTTCAGCCATGTAGCAGCTCAGCCCATTGATTACGGTCATGGTCATCAAACCCTCGATTACGGACACCAAGGTCCTCTTGTTCCAGGGGCACAAGTTTATGATTATCATCCTCAGTATGATAGTCATTATTATCATCAGCATCCTTACGAAATGGAACGTCATCATCACAGGTTTGCACATGAACATGGTAAACCCAAAGGCCATCCTCCTGTTGAATCAATTCCTGATATAAGTGGACTGAGTGGTAAGTACATTGGCCACTGTTTTCACAAGCTTTAGGGTTCCATAGTAATGCACTGTTCATTTGTTCTTGAGCAAAGATAGGCTTGAAAATTATAGAGCAATTACAGTGGAATGGTGGATTTCACCGCAAGTTATTTTGTTTAGTGGTGTCTTTTTTCATGGAAATTCAGAAGCGAGAAATGTGTAGAACTTGCACCAGACCATTGCCAATAAAAATTATACTCAAATACCTGGTGATGTGGACTGTGCTTTTTTTTAGAGAATCACACTGTAAGTATTTTACAGGTATGTCAACAAAGTGCAAAGTGCATTCCAAATTAGTTGTTAAAGAGTTTTAAGCTGCTGTTTTACTCAACTTAAATTCTGGTCATTTTTTTTCAGATGTGAAGAAAAAAGCTCTTCCTATGTGGATAAGAGAAGGTCTTGAAAAGTTGGAAAAGCAGAAACAGAAACAGAAAAAACAAGATCAGCCGGATGAAGAAGAACCAAAGAAATCAAGCCTGAATTTGTCTGGGTCAGCTTCTACCATAGCGGGTTATGATCATGGTAAAGTTGATTCTCCAGTGCATTCACCAAAAAGCAATGATTCTGATGAGGTAAATGACGATAAAGCATTGTGGTTGAGTTTTATAAAAATGGGAAACTATTTGAATACCATGGATGTACAGTGTAGATGCATGTACCGTCGGTTGCATCTAAGCGTGTACACGTGAGGAAAAAACATGTTCTAATTGGGAGCAAACAGGCATGTTTTGCCGCCAAACATTCGAAGTTTGGAGTACGCGGCTGTTGTCGACTTGATTCGTTTTCGCTCAATGAAATATTCTTTGCAAGAATTTTTAGACGTTAAGAATAATTTCTGGAGGCAAGTGTGCTGTTTCTGAGCGAGAAATATGCCTGAAAGTTAAGAAAAATGAGATATGAGCGGAATGCGTTGATCAAAAACGTATAAACAATGTAGCTTTGGTGCGACAGTTTGCTTTAAGGGCTGTCAAACTTCAAATGTTTGGTGGCAAAACACGTCATGTCTGGCACCTTATTTAGATGCAACCGATGGTATTTACATTGTATATGCACACATGTGACCATACTTGTACATAGGATTTAAGTCCCAAGAGTGACCAACATCAATTTTCTCCTAACAATATCGACACATCATCAAAAAAAATGGTTATGAGAATTAACAAAATGATCAACAAAGGAGAAATGCGTTGATCTCTATAAGGCAATGTATGGACATCTAAATTGTGGAGAATTTGTATTTGGATATTGGGGCTTAAGGGTTAATGCACTAATTAGGGCTTTATCATTAAATGGGATTCAACAAATTAAGATGAAATCCATCAGGAAATTGAGTAATTTTAATTTCCAGTGGACAAAAATTTTGTACCAGAATATTTCAAGCCATATTGCATCCTTTTTTGCACTTTTCAAGGGCTGTAGATGTAATTATTAGTTATCTGTAATAACACCAAAGACAATTTCTTATGAGAGCCCAAGAAAATAAATTCAAATTTCCAGGAATTGAAAAAACACAGGTAAAAATAATTATCAAGCATAAGATTTCATTTTGTGAAATTTGAAGCTTTTGAAGTTAAGCTAAGTTTGTTTTGTCGGGCTCTTTTCTTTGGAGTTATTTCATATAACTTTTTATAGCCCTCGCAAAGTGTAAACAATATTTCTGGACCCAGTTGTTCGAAGAACGATTAACGCTTAACCAAAGGTTAAATTTAACCTGGGTTTCTTTTTCTTGTGCTTACAAGAATTTTCTCGGATAATTTTCTCTGTTATTTTTAAACCTTTCAATAATCAACTTGTAGACAAAAAGAATTAAACCTGAAATGATTTTTAAGCTTTCATATCTGAATTCAAATCTCGAACTAACTCTAGGTTATCTTAACCCAGCTTTGAACAACTCGGCCCTGGTAATTATTCTGGTACAAGGTTTTGGCCACTAAAAATTAAAATTACTCAATTTTCGAATGGATTCAGTCTTAATGTTTTGTTGATAGGTCATAAAAATTGAACTTAGTTGTGTTAAACACAATTGATTCTTAAAGTATTTTTTTCTTAATTGAAAATTTGCAAGTGGAAACACTTCATGTAGGAGGGGAAAAAATCATGAGGCTGCAAATAAATATTTTTGAAATCTTTTAAAGGCTTCTATTGGATAAATACCTTCAGTGAATTAGTAGAATTAAAAGTTTCTGCATGTCAATAGAAACAAAATTGAAATAAAACATTGTAGTTGTAAGGTATGTTTAGTCAAGGGATGGATTGATGTTAAAGTAAACCGAACAAAAATTGTACTCAAATTGACAGACCTGAAGTGTGTTTCCGTTATTTTTTGGTTTCTGTACCTACATTACAAGATTTTCTGCACAGTCCGAAAGCGTACAGTACAGATGCAAAACTAAAGCATTTTGAAGTTTATTTTTCAAAGTACTTTTATCTGTTAACTAAAAACCACCTTTACTTGTTACTAAAGGAGGTTAATGAGGAGAAAAAAGGGGCACACCAGTCGTCAGGAGAGGAAGATGAAAAGGAGGCTCCAAGAAAAAGCTCTTCTGTTAAAGCACGTCACTCTAGGAAAGCATCCCCACCACACAAGAAGGCAGAATCATCAGATGAAGAAGAAAATGAGAAGACTGAGGAGGAAAAGCAGCAAGAACTTGTAAGTTTTTTAAGAGCGCACTCACATGTAGACGTATTGTATTGATCATTAAGTAATTGTAACCAGTGAATGAAACTTACATTTGAGGATTACCATAAATGACCTACATGTCTATTAAATGCATGGGGCATCTAAAGAATGTTAGGAGTCCAAGGGGGGGCATTAGGAGGCAAGAACTCACTCAGCTACATTGTATATTTTTTTGATATTATTACAGTTAACTCTCTGAGAGGGACACCTTTAGAACTGCCACTAAGTGTCTATCTTAGAAAGATGTTCATCGTACATGTATGGTGAGCCAACTAATAACGAAAGGCAGGGACAAACCCTAGTTACATGTACATATCTGTTTAGCGAGGTGTCCATTTGGAGCGATTTAACAGTAAATCCCACACAGCACTTTATTTTTAAGCACTATACTGTGGGGTACAATGTGAACGGTTTTCAGAAGGTACTTCATTGTTTGTTTAGATAAAACTGTATCAGTGCCAAATTTATATAAACAAAAAGACTCGTTGCACGTAACTGTTGAAACTGCACAACACTCTTCTTATCAGATGACTTTACTATGTGTAGCTTTGCCTGAGTGTAAAATGCAGCAAAACTTAAAAGGTCAATAAATTTTTCTATTCCAAACTAACATGAGTGGAAATTGTGATGAAAACTGTTCTCTCGAGAAATCTCCTGGAGCTCATGGCTAACCAGAATAGTTTTCATGAGTACAATATAACATGTACATACACTGTACATGTATACATAGAAAGTTCAAATGGGGTTTTCTTAGGGCTTGCATAAGTAGAGCTGTGTACTTACAAGTCATGTACAGCTAGCTATACAAGAGTGACCTTTTAGAGTACCTTGACTGAACTTATTATTGTTATTCACACAATTTCAGAGCTCTGAACACTTCAGACATAAACTTAAATGCATTCAGTGTCTGGCACATGTCTATTGAACGGCGCTTTTTTGTTTTGTGGCCCAACAGACAATCTACGAAAAATATACTTTTTTCAATTCATACGAATTTGAGGTGGGGTGAGAGGCCACTTGTTTTGATAACATTACAGGGTAAGTGAAGAGTGCCAGTCTCAGTCAGCCCAAAAAATGCGTCAGTTTATGTGTCCAGGGAAACGTTTTTTGTTTTGATTGTGCAATCTGTTGTAATCTTTACTCACCATTAAGAGCAAATGGAGATGCTTTGTCCCTGCCCACAAAAGCCTAACATGCAATTACAAAAATAATGACAATATCAATATTTAAAATGGGGCAGTTTTGCATTATAATTAGCCGTCTTTCTCTGGACTCTTGGAGTGTTAAGTGTCTAACATATTATTAATAGCTGTTTTTTTATGGTTTTCAGATGGTGAATATCCGCAAACTGCTGACGGAAGTTCTCTTAACGGTAACTAATGAAGAGTTGAAAAAAATTGCTCAGGAGACTTATAATGAAGCGCTGCGAGGTACATATCCTGTCATGCTTAGTGGTGTTCTTTACCAAGTGCTTCTGGTTGGCCATCAGTAACGTGACTATTTTCTGTTGTGTTGAATGATGTTGTAGGTCCTGCACGGCAGTTGCAGCATTCTGGAGGTTTAGATGCTCTTCGAGGAAAAGGAGGTTATTTAGGTATGTTCTGTACCTATTTATGCATTTCACTAAGGGTGACAAAAATATTGTTGTTTAGGAGAAATGTAGGTCTTACCATGTAAAAGTAACAAGGGTGTTTGATTTGAATAGTCACACAAGAGATAACTTTCCACTGACTAGCTTGACGTTTTATTAAAGCTACATGAGCATGTACTTGATGTTGTTTGGTTTGTCATGTGAGTACAAAAATAGGAAGGACATGTAACAGTAAATTGATAAAGCATTTACTTGTATAATTAAATGTAAATGAATAAGAAAGTACAAACAACTAGAACAAGTAAGGCTGTATAAACAGTAGAACTACATCTTCTGTCTACTTGGTTGCATTAAAAGGGGAAGTGTCATGGATAAGTACTATACATGTAAATGAAATAAAAAAGACTGGAACCATTGACAAGGCAGCCATGTTGGTGGTCAATACAGTACATTTTTTTGTCTTAGAATCTGCAAGATAGAGTCAAGCTCCCAGTGGAGAGAAACTCTTTTCTGTTTTTATCCCCAACATGGTCTTAGTGGTGACACGTTCAAACCTGCAATACAGCAGTATGATTTTAGTACAAGCACTTCCACATAATTTTTCTTCTTTCACCATGTTCAAGAATTACTGACTTTTTAAAATAAATATTAAGATTAAGGTTAATACTTAGTGACTGTTCGTGATGGAAATGGCTCATTTCCCAGGCGTAAATTTTGCGATTCAAGAGAAACATAATCAACTAGTTTCTCGATGTTCAATGGACCAGTCATTGAGTGATCTGTTACATGTATACTGCAGTGATCTGTTAGCCCACAAAGTTGAATCTGAGGCTGCCAAACAACAATTCTAGCCAATTGTAAGAGTGGGGGGTTTGAACCAGGGATTACCAGCACTGACCACTCAGTTGTGCTAGGAGATACTCGGATATGTTGCTAATAATAATTATCTTGCCTTTTCGAGTAGCCTGTGACGTCTGAGCATTATTTTGCCTACAGGTTGGAGAGCTTGCCATACAAAAAATAATGTACAATAGAGAGTGAAATCTCGATAAATTGAACCCCATACAGCGAACATCCCAGTAGAACATTCATGGCATAGTTGTTGTGAAATGTATGGAACAGACCCATAAGCTAAAAATTTTCGAAATTTTCTTGCAGTTCTCCACTCGGAAAAATTCTGGATACACGCGTCCAATATTGTTTGTGGGGTGACGGGAGGGGATGGACCTGTGTGCAAAACGCCCCAGAAACGCGAAAGTGTCCCAAGACTTTTGTCCATGATTGTCTGAAAAGGAGGTGGGAAGAAAAAAGGCATTTTTTTTATGATTCCCTAAAAATTTTTATTAACAAAATATTACAGAACTAAATTTCTTACTCGCTCTGAAACTGAAATTTTATTTTTAAAAAAATAATTATACGAAATGAATGTTTCATGAGCGTTAAAACACAGCTGAGTCTTAGACTTGTATGTTCGCGGGAAAAATTAAATATCCTAAAGGTATTGATCTTAGAAACGCTATGAAACTTAAACAAACAAGGCTTTAACACGACGGCACTTGATAAAAATACTTCTGCTCGTTAATAAGTGACAAGTTTTTGTTGTTAACTTTAAGTGAGCTGGAGCATTGTGCATTTTAGGACTAGACTGTTAATTGCTGCCTATTGCCACTGGGCCCTTTAAAGCGTTTGATGCACCTTTTCATTGTTTTGCACAGGCTACATTGTATTAATGTCAATAATATTATATCAGAAGAGGTCGTTGTCTCTCATAGTGACGTACTTTTCCGATTCAGTAGCCACAATAATGACCTGGTTCTAGATTAATTGAAATGTGCATTAAATCGGGAAATGCTTTCGCTCCTCGGCCTTCTAAACAAATAATACGCGCGAGGTCATTTTAAGTCGGCCCTTGATCTCGGGTGTTATCCTATTTTTTATTTGATTTGTAGCACTAGCAGATGATTTTATAGACACTGTTTTCAACTTCTGACCGGAACCAGTTAACGAAAATCCGTGAACACGGCTGGAAAGAACGCCATAAATTGAAAACTAACGAAGATATAGCACTGCGAAGTCGCGCAATTTTACCGATGTTAGTGTGGTGGCAATTTCGTGCCCTTCACCATACAAACGTTATTGAGTCTCTATGGCAATATCTTCTCTCGTTTTGGATGTATCGCATTTAAAATTGGTGAGTCTACTTATTTTAAGGAGCTTTTTCCGGCAGTGTCTATGGACATTCGCTTACTGCTCTTTATCAAAATTTGAAAAAAAAAACCGTGGAAGGGTCTATTCTTGCCGTGTGTCGCACAGTCTTTATTCAAATGACAAAGCATGTTGTAAACTACGAGCATTCTCCCTTTTTTTCTTAGTCCGTTGAGCGAAACTCATGAAATACTAAAATGACCACGCGCGTGAATGGAGGCCACCCTTGTTTCTCGCCCTCGCGTGCGTCACTCCCCTCACTAAATCTGAAGAAAAAGAGAGAATGCTCGCAGTCTAAAGGTAATGTTACACGAGACGATTCGCAACGACGACTTTTAGCGCAACACATTGTTGCGACATTGTTTCGAGTGGTTACAAGACTGTTCCAACATTGCAACGCTGTGTTGCGCTAAAAATCGTCTTTGCGAATCGTCCCGTGTAACATCACCTTAATGATGTTGAAATTTTCTTCCAGGACTAGGCGGGTATGGTTCAGATACTGGGAGTGAATCTGATCAAGAATCAGCTGGCGAAAGATCATCTGCTTATTACGAGGACAGAAAACATCCAAGTGCAGACATAGAAGAGAAGCAGGAAATACGAAGAAGTCGTTCCCGCAGTTTTTCCAGAAGAGTCAGTCAGAAACACGAAGCGGGTTCTGAAAGTGAAGAAGAGGATGAATCGAAACGTTTAAAACACCATGATTCTGGCAGTAAGCACGTGAAGAAGGATAAACGAAATCGAAGTCCTTCGTCCTCTGTCAGCGAGAGCTCAAGTTCCGTTTCAGCTCATCATAAAAGTCGGCGGAAGAAGCATCATCGAAGAGAAAGAAGCGACAGCTCATCACCAAAGCACCGGCGGAGACATCGTCGACACCACGGAAAAAAGAGCCGATCTCGAAGTAGATCGCCGCGGAAACACAGTAGCAAGAAGAAATGGAAGAGTGAGAGCGAATCGGAGAGCGACACCGAGAGTAGAACTTCGAGAAAACATAAATCATCAAGACATAGTCGGGAGTATTCTGATAAGAAGCATCGTCGAAAACGAAGATCTTCCAGTTCATCATCGCATAGTGAACGGGAGGGTAAGAAGGACAGAAAACGTAAGGCCTGAACATCCCGTGGATTATCAAGGTGGATTGTAGTTTATTTTTGAATTGTATTACGATCTGTTGTATATATTTTTTGTGAATACATCATAAAATAAAATGACCATCAATAAGCTGTCGGTCTCTGTGAAGATTCAGGTTCACACAGTAAGACGCGCGCTTTTAATTGTCCATGTTACACCCATCTTACCTCAAATCCAAGCAAGAGTATTGACAGACCGACTAACTGACTGATCCAGAAAAAATTTAGTTTCATTAACTAGTTTATTTGGCAATTTAAAGAGATTTAAGGCGACGTTTGGTGCGCAATTCCTTTAGCAGTGCGTCACAAAACAACTGATTTATCAACCCACCAACTGTTCAACTGTCTGATTGACATACTAGTCGATAACAGAGGCTTATTGTTCATCTGATTATAATACCTCAGCTAGACATGACATTCATCGTCATTACCGGTACCCCTTCAGAGCACCGTTCCTCGCCGTCCACTCCAGCAGTCCTTGCACTAGAGGCATTGGAGGTTACAAATTGTGTTTTGGTATAACGATGCTGATTTTTCTTTTTTTGTATTTTGTTGCAGGTTAAACTGGGGAAAAAGTAATGATGTTTGTCATGAGTATACCGGGGTTCTGTTCCTGTTGCCTCTTATAGAAAAGAAGTAATTATTTGGTGAGGTGTTTTTGCTTCCCGAACCGAAAACGTTAACTGACTCAGTATCAGCATTAAAGCTGACTCGGATTAATTGTTTCGTACATTGTACATTTTAGAAATTTTATTAAAATTTTTATTGACACAGTTTTGTTGTTCTTATGTTTGAGTAAGTTTTTGAGTCATTCTCTTAACCCTAGGCCAAGCGTGGAACTTTTCATGAGACGAACCAAACTTAGTGAGTTCAGTTCATGAAAAGGTCGACGTCTGGCTCAGTCAAGTTCGTTTGAATGAGTTTGGATCGTTCAACACGTTCTATCCGTCTGTTTCAGACGGATAGAACGTCTGAAGATCGTCTCTGGGACAAACGTCGATCTTCACAGGCGACGAACTAAACTAAGTAATTAACAATTAGTATGATGATGTATATGTTAGACTCGTTCGGGGGATAATTGATCTGATTCACTTGATTAGTTCGACGCGACCTAAGTTCGACGTCTGCAGACCCACGATCTTTATTTAGGTCGACCCAAATTAGAGTTTGGCTCATGAAAAGTTCAACGTTTGGCCTAGTTAGTGTCCAAAAATGGAATAAACAACGTGCAGTAGTTATCACTTTGGGCGTTAGGGATCATCGCAGTCATATACTTGAGCAGTCACATGCGAGAAGAAAGACAGGAAAACGGTACTTTAATCCTAACCTATGTCGGTGTAGTGTTCAAACCACCGAGGTTAGCTTGCAAGCAAAATCTCCATTTCGTGGAGTCCAGAGAAGTCACAAGTGGGCGGCTCGCCAGCCTGGCATGCCATACGTAGCTCGCAGGCTTCACCGAGGAGCTGGTCACTTTTTCAGTTCGTTGTATAACCGTAGAAAGTGAGTGTATGATATTTTATATGAGCTGCGGGAGAAAAACATAACACGTGAAAGATGGTGATGTCGCATTTTGTTACGCAGTTGCGCTGTTTTAGGGGTTTCATTCATTTGTGACTAGGCTTACTAGCTAGCAAGTAATCAGAGCAACATTATAACTGGACAAAATCCCCTTAATTTGATCTTAACCGGTTTCAGATAACTCGGAAACAATCTTAAAGCGCTTTCCATTTGTCGGAACCGGTCGGCCGGACCAGCCAGTTTGAATTAAAATCGGCTTTTTGTAAGAGTTTTTTGCTGAAAAACCATCTTTTTTCTTGCATACTATTCAGGGCTCGATAGTTTTGATTAAAAGTGAAATTCTCGTTGCGACGGGAAGGTCTGCCCGGTCAGTTCTGACAAATGGAAAGCGCTCTTAACCTGCGATTCATTCATTAAAATAAGGCTCTATTGCGTGGATTTGCTGTGCATTTGCGTGTTTGTGGCCGGAATTGATACTCCAAAACTATCCTCGCAGACCCAGGGGCAGTCAGTCGGGCCGGGAGAAAAGGCGCGACGAAAGTTTACAAGCACCGGTGCCAGATTTTGCATCTGGAGCAGAAGGCCGCGAAGTGTGCGACCTTTGAACAGCTTTGTGGTAAGTTTCAGCTCTTTATAGCACGATATTGGCCAGAAAACCGTTCAACTTAGCTTCCAAACGCGTTTTTTGGCAAAGTCTCGAGGGGCGAACGGGGTCTAGGAAAAAGTCAAACTTAGTTTCCAGTCCTTTACCGTAAGTGCGGAAAGTGTGTGTTCTGATAGCCCGCGTACCTAGCAGGCGCGCGCCCCCTTCTTTCCTACGCCCACTACTTCCAAACGCTTTCTACGCAGGCTGGTGTTCTTATCAACGGTTTGACGTGAATTCATCTGGTGTTGAGATCATCATCTCTGAGTGTTGTCCGTTTCACATCAAACGTAAATCTTCTATTAAGACCGCGTCGTCAAAGTGGATTCCGAAGTAAAAAGCAACAGCTTTGGGTAGATTGACAAAGGACTCCTTTTTTGGGAATGGTTTAGCATTCAACCTCGCTTAAGAGGAAAAAACGCTGAGCTATACTATTCCGTTACTGATATATCCAGAGGGACTTCCTCCTGGCCATGGCTCCTGATCGCTGAAGAATAGCCTGCAAGGAAATAGGGGCCGAAATATAATTCTTCCGCCACGTGGCCTCCACAACTGCCTCTTCCGTTTTCTGTTTCTAACTGGTGTCCGAAAAAGCGAGCCTCGTCTCCGGGGCGTTTAACCTTAAGAATGGGAGGGCATAGTGAATTGTGTCGATGGCGGATTGACAAAAGTCTAAAGCATATACAGTGAGCATATGACGGTTGTTGTACGGTCGCACTCTACCATAAGCCTGTAACTTGTGACAGCTCCTTTTAAGGGATCTCAAACTTTTCAATCGCCCCCATAAAAATTATAAGACCTAGTTCTCGATGAATATTGAAACATTCACTATATTTAGAGACTCAAAGATCCAACGGCGACGGCAACGAGAACCTGTCAAAAAAAAAAAATGTGTATCACACTTTTTTGTTCGTTTCTTAGCCTGCGAAAACATCCGTTTCTCCGCGCTCTTCGCCGCTGGGACGTTTCGCGCAAAACGTCCCCAGCGGCGAAGAGCGTGGAGAAACGGATGTTTTCACAGGCTATTCATTTCTTTGCCCTTTTTGCACGACTACGACGTGAAAATGCCTAATATCGCGATTTATGGAGAACGTTCAACTCCAGGAGAGTTCGCCAACATTTGACAAAGAAGGTGGGTAGGAATAATCGCGATGAAGACCAGACTGAAAGACAAGGAGTCAGACCGTGAAAGCCCTATGAAGTAAGGGGAAATTTACTCAACGCTGATTGGTCGAGTTAGATCTAATTTTTCGACGAGCATCCCAGAGTCCACCGTGGAACGGATTACCCAGGATTACCCTTCAGCTCCCTTGACCAAGAGAGGCTTGCCTTCTTTGCTCGTTCCTCAGACTTCATTTCGCGGGGGTCGTGGGGAAGCCAGTGGTGTCGTCGCGAAATACCCTGTGGGGATGAAGCTGGGGAATTTTACCGACACTGACAAACTTTGGTAGCCCGCGGGCAAGCTCTCCAATTATGGAAGAACGAGCGAGTCTCCCTCTCATCTCCTATCGCGCCCGGCTCTGGCGTGACTTCTCGCGACTGCCCTAACCTGCGAGGATCTCAGGCTACGACTTCCCTAACTGGAGAGCTTGCTTGCATGCTGATACCGACTCTGATCCTGTGATACTTTGTTAGCCATGGCTACTAATCGCCTAAGGAAAAATAATTTTTCCACCATACATCCTGTACAGCTGCCTTATCAGTTAGCCTGCTTTCCGGACATGTTTAATATTCATCCCCACCCCTCCCCAGTGCTTTCTCCCATTCGCGAATGTCAATAATCACAACCCAGGCCAGTCTTTCTTTAAATAAAGACTAAAAAAGAGTATTTTAATCACTCAAAATTTTGTTTCTTCTTTTGCATTTATACCCGTTTGTTAGAGGAAAAAGTGTCACAAGTTTTTCTACCTACCAACCCAGCCACCCCATAGTCAGATTTGTAGAACGCGGATTGATGGTCTCTAATAGTTACTGATAATCCATTAACCCTATTGCAATGCAGTTGCTACAGGAGTCGGTTTAGCTGTGTTTAGGGACTTTGTAATTTCTTCATATGTAGACAGGATGTCTTTGCGAACTCTACCTATTTTATTCCTTAACCTTGGAGGAGAAATGCTTTATATTTTGGACCAGCGATTGAGAGCGCAGTCGATTCCTGATGAGAAAGCTCGGAAAGGTAAGCAAGAAAAGTTCTCCCGGCGGCCTCAAAAATGAGCTCTATTAAATATGGCGTCCACCAAGATTATTTCCATGGCGAGCGTATTAACAAATAAATATACGTTTTCTGTAGACATTAGGAGGAAAATAAGAAAGATAAGGTAACATTGTTGTTTAGAGAATTTCGCTGCGTGTGTTTAGGTTAATATTCAAGATTGTGTTCGACTGAAGCGAGTTTGTATTTTGGTTTTTCGTGTTAGGCTACACTTCGTAGCCGGGCTCTTGGAAATTAAAACTAGCCTACTGCAAAGTGCTTTTCTTATTTGCTCAGCTGCCACATGTTTCTTAGAATGGCTACCTGCGTGTTGATCTATTTTCTTCTCTTTGTTGCTCAGGTTAATCACATTTCTGAATGCTTTAAATTTTAAAAGTGTTGTTGTCTTAATCATACCTTTTGTTGCGCCAAAGTTCCGTCATAGGAAAGCTAGCGTTGTAGAATTTCTGTTCATCATGACCAAGATTAAATACTGGAGGGTATAAGCTTAATGAAACTCAAACTGTATTTAAGCTTAAACATACGTGAAATTTTAGTTTGTGAGCTTAAAAAATCCTCAAGAGAAGAAGACTGCCAAATGTCTAGCTTATTTTAAACGACTTTTTACTGGAATGTTTAACAGGAAAACAAGCGATTGAAAAATTGTTATTTCTGTCTCGAACTGTTACAAAAAGCGTTTTAGAATAAATTTTTCGTAATTTTTTCCTTGTGTAAAAACTTTCTATGTAAAGGTTTAGTTCAAGCAGTATCATTTAGAATTTTCTTATTGACTGACAGCTGGAGAAGCTAAAATTAGAAAAAAGAAGTTCTCTGAAATTTTTATCAGGGTTTGTGGCACATTTCCATGCAAATTTGTCAAAGTATTTACAATACCCAGGTTTTTGGTCCTTTCTTATGGAAATTTTAATTTTTTGAAATTAAGTAAAAGGCGGCACCGAGTTTTATGGAATAATATTTGAGATTTCTTTTTCTCTTTTGGCACTTGAGATAAATCAATGACAATCAGTCAAATCAATTTGCATAAAATTTGTCTGAAACTTAAAAGACTATTAAGACAAATTATTTGCATTGTATTATCCTCTTTATGACATAACAACAAGAGTTCTTTTGTTTCTTAGATGGCAGCTTTATATTTTTCATCTGCCTTTTTTTTAACTTCATAATTTCAAGCTATTGTCATTCCAGACCACTGTTCATTTAAAGCTATCTTTTTTCTTGTTCCTGGCTAACTTTTTTAGTTGACAAGATATTTGAAAGTATTTAAGCAATATTAAGATCTCTTTTGGATTTTTAGCCTGCCTTTAACTAAGAGTTTTCCTCCATATTATAGCAAATGAATCTGATCCATGCACTCAGATGTGTGTAATAATTATTTTATGTAATAATTATTTTAGCTCTGGATAAAACAAGGCATGAAATTGAAATGTTAGATGCCATTGTCTGCTGTTACCCACAATGTATAGCTCGGAGAATTAAGCCTTAATAGTAAAAATATTTTGCACACTGGCTATTGACAAAGGTTCTTGTTGAGAACTAATTTCTACGGTTACATTGTACATACAGTTTTACTTGAGACAAGCAAATTTGCAAGCAAAGAAGCGGTGGGTCAGAATTTTTGCGTGTTACTGCCCTTTTCACAAACATGTGAATTCTGAAGTTCAAAAGCCAACTGACAATTGCGTTTTTCCCTGCCGTCAATCATCTTAACGGACCTCTTAGGAAACAAAACTTTACTTTAACGGGTTCAAAAGGTCAAGGTTTGTGAGGTTTTGGAAATCAATTTTTCTCTCGTTTTACATAGTGTCATACACTGTTCAAATTTGATCTCGTTCAGAGTCAATACAGAGATTGTTATAATAACCTTCAACTGGCAATTATTTTGAGATATGAACCTTGGACCATTAGTTTGTTACTTGCCAGTAGATAACTGACTTATCTGTAGGCTGCACACGTAGTGTATGAGTTGCAAGAGGAATACATCAAACTGTGTTTCATAGTGACATTGCATTTCTTGTTGTTTTCTTCAAAACTATATGAAATATTAAACGAGCACTTGATCACTCCCACAGTGATCGCAAAACCTCATCCTCTCCAATATAGTTCTACTTTGCTATGTTAGTATGTCAATGTGCTGAGCTTTAGCTGACCTTATCAATGTAATGGCAAAATGTTATAATAATAAAAAAATAAAATAATAATAATAAAATAATAATAAAACACTCATTACAACCAACTTTCTCTGAGGCAGACAATGCTAAGACTGACTAAAGAATGACAGGGACAAACTTAAGTACATCCATTTTAGGAGGTTATCTGTTTCAAAGAGGTGTCTGTGAGATAGAGTTGACTCACTGTATTCATACACAAGGAGGGGTGGCGAATGGTAAAATCCGAGACTCGCTGAGACGCCTATCCTAGTTAGAAATCCGAGCCCGGGACTCTTTGGTAAAAAGTTTCGAGACTCAAAAAAGTAAAAACAAACCATGAAAAAACGAGACTTTGAGACTTATCATTAACGCTTCCGAGACTTCGAGATCGTGACAAAATTTTCCAAGACCCACGTTTTACGAGGTACCATTCGCCACCCCTACAAGGCCCAGAAATACACTATATATGCTTGAAAAAATTCAAGGATCTTTCTTGACAGTTATACTTGATACAGAGATGGGTGAAGCTATATACGAATTTCCCTAGTCATACTACTACATGAAAAATTTCTGCAATTTGATTGGCTTAGAGTAGTGGTATTTCAGCTAATTAATTTGAAATACCTACATGTGAAAATTACAAACCTTTTGTAGGTAGTAGTATAAACAAATAATNAAGGATCTTTCTTGACAGTTATACTTGATACAGAGATGGGTGAAGCTATATACGAATTTCCCTAGTCATACTACTACATGAAAAATTTCTGCAATTTGATTGGCTTAGAGTAGTGGTATTTCAGCTAATTATTTTGAAATACCTACATGTGAAAATTACAAACCTTTTGTAGGTAGTAGTATAAACAAATAATAGCATGATTTGTACGGGATTTTTGGCGTAAATACCACTCGTGCTATTTCAAAATTGTCTCAATTTTCAATTAGCTATAACAATTAATTGAAATATTACTTGTGGTATTTATGCCAAATATCACTACAAATCATGCTATTACCTATACGAACTGGCCTGGGGTCGGGGCATATATGACCAGAGGGGGGTACTCGGGATTTCAAGTGACAGGGATGATCGAAGGTTTTTTTTGGGTTTGAAATTTTCGATTCCAGGATTTTTTTAGGTATGAAAATTTGGCAAGTATTTTTTGGGGTAGCTTGATTTGAGTAGGGATTTTTTGGGGGTATTAAAAAGCAGTGCCCTGGCTGCGTAGTTCTGCGAATAAAGTACAAACAAACGTGTTTTGCTGTTGTTTAATAGGGATCTTTTTGGGTTTTGCTGGAAGCCCTAGGGATTTTTTGGGGTCTTGACTTTTGGCTCCATTCGATCATCCCCGTCACTTGAAATCCCGAGTACCCCCCCTGAGCATATATGTTACGGGTCAAATTTGATTTCAGGTTAATTTTGTTTTCTCCTAAGTTGATTCTCAATTTCCTTTGTCTCATAGGGCTAGGAGACAAAATTTGAGAATCAACCTAGGTTAAAAAATTTCAACTTGAATTTAATTTTGGCCTGTAACATATAATACATACAGTTTAAAACAAGAATAATACTTATAAATGACGACTTTTTACTCTCCTGTTCCCTTTAAGTTATGCATGATATTGTTGGCACTATGTTCAACAAGCGTTTCATGGAAGAGCTTTTCAAGCCACAGGACACATATTCCAAGAAAGCTATGAGGACAGTGTTTGACAGACTAGCCCATGCCTCAATCATGAGATTGAACTCAGCAAGTATGGATAAGGTAAAACCTCGCCTCATTTTCTGACATTCCCTGAAATTTCTGACAAACTGACTGTGAAATATACCTTGGTATCCTGCCTTGCATGCAGAAGCAGTTTAGATCTTATCAGGTTTCCATGGTAACCATTTTTCAGCATTGCTTACTAGCTATATTGCTTAATTATGATTGGAATCCACCCTTGTTGTTTAGAATTTGGCATTTCACACAATACAGTCAACTCTTGTCATTGCAGACACTTTCTAGAGGTCCATAGTAGTATGGCTCCCATAAAAGTGGGAGGTGAAAAGAAATCACTTGACAATTGGCTTCAGACCACTAACACAGCTGTCTCTCCTCACTCCTTGCCACTAGAGATTTTTTGTAAGAGAAGCATCTGCAATTTGGCCCCCAAAATTCCACATAAATGCAGTGATTTTGTTACCTCTGCAAACTGCGTCCCTGACACATAAAAATTCTCAAGGATGCAGAATATTTGACGGCTTGTGTCCTCTGGGACGCATTGATTGATCGCGATTGATTGATCGAGCTAAAGATGTTTTTTGAAGAATGCCCTGTTTGCACGATTTTATATATTTATTGAAAGCTACCTCAAAACAAAAGAGTAACATTGTCCGCTTGTTTAATAGGTTATGTTTATTTACCGATGGAGTGGTTACTCATTATGTTTGCCATAATACGGAAAGCAAGTGCCTGAACCAAAAATAGTGGTTCATTGTCAGCAAAGCTTTCGTCTAAGTGATTCTGAGATTCAAGCACTTATTAACATTTATATGAAAATTAGAAAATCCCACCCAAAAATGTTCTGCATCTATGCCGGGACAAAAAAGATAAAGTTATTCCGAAGAGAGTCACTAGGCATCTCTCCAAACGACAAAAACCCATGAGTTGTCCTAGAGTGACAGCGTTACTGTTTTCTATTTTTCGCTAGAAAAACTGTAATTTGATTTCAGTACACTGACTATAATGTATTGCAGAGATAGGTGCTTTGCTACTGAAAATGTTCTACAGATTAAACGTGATAGTCTGGTTTCATGAGAGTTGTGGCATCTGTTAATTAAATAGGAAGGAATCATCGTTTTTTGAACTAAGGGACGTAGTGATTCTGGACTGGGACTCATGACTTTTCATAAGATGAGTCCCAGGACTCACTATTAGCAAATTGTAACAAAATCACTGCTGATGACGTAGATTTGACCAGAATCTGGTCCACTGGCACTGATTGGTTGGCATACATGTAGTAATAAAATTCCTATAGCTATTTTTTTTTCAAATAACAGACAAAAGACAAAAGGTGACAAAGATAAAATGTAAAATTTACATTTTATCTTTGTTTTATCTTTTAATGCAATGTATCTTCTATAACGGAGTCATTGTTTGTGGAATATAATCTTCTTTACATAAAGCATTTGAATTTTGCTGCCACTCATTTGCAAAAGAAGTCAGACCAGGAGAATCACAAATTCAAAAAAATTTACATCAGGAACCCCATGACTACCTGATTAATTATTTTAAAAAAGGATTTACTGGGTATGTCATCAATGTGGAATTTTGGGGTTGGAATTGCACTGAGGTGTCTCTACCAAGAAACACACCGAGGGGCAAGGAGGAGGAGAGACAGGTTTTTTTTTCACAGGCTACATTAGAGGATCATATATAGTACTATAAATGTCATTAGAATTTGCTGTTAAAAGATGTTTTAAATAAAATAAATTAAATTATTCTTTTGTAATTATACTTTTCTAAGTCTCTTAATTTATAAGAATTAGATTCATTTGTTTGCTAACAGTTTGTGTGTGTGTTTGTTTTTTTTTATTGGCAGCTCTATGATTTAATGACCATGGCTTTTAAATACCAGGTAAACATTCAGCCCGCTAATGCAGAAAATATGTAAAAGTTTGAGTAAAGAGCAGCCAAAACAACTTGGAGAATTGCTTTCCATGATTTAGTTTACATAGCATGTTTCTTGAATATGATTCTGGGTACGTGTTTTTATTATCTCTAACCTTTAGAAGTACCTAATAAATGTAATAAGCATGAGATATTTTGGCCGCCTAGTAGAAAAGAAAATCTGTTTGAACACCATGTATTATTCGATCATTTTACTAAAGGTTAGTTAATTTGGATTACAGTGAAACCCCGCCTTATGGTCACCTCGGTTATACGGTCACCTCAATATTACGGTCACATTTTTTCTGCCCAACTGCAAAATGGCCGTACATGAAAAAAAACTCTCATCAATACAGGCACCTATTAATATGGCCAATGGCCCCATTTTAAAGTCCCAAGCATTAGAATCTTTTATAATTTCACCCCGTTAATATGGTCACTCTTTCCAAATTTAGAAAATTAAAATGCTTGTGACGTGTCAGTTTCATGAAGACCTCGTAAGCTGAGCTCAGCGTGCAAAGAAAGCACTGTCTGATAGCCCAGGGCTACTGGATTTTTTTATCGGGCAAGTGAATTCTGCTTTTAACTTGTCCTACGGGCAAGTGATGTTTTTTGAGAAATTCGAGTAACAGAAAAACTGTGCAATCAATTCTGCTCATCAAAAAGCTTTTGGGGCTAGTTGAAATGACGTCTGGGCTAGTTAATGCTTGCTTTGCCCGAATGGCAAGCTGTAAAATGATTTTCTTTGCACCCTGGCTGAGCCTGATCTTTCTATGATCCTGTACTTTTTTTAGACTACAGTACACTTCAAATGCATTTGTGGCAGTTTAATAGGTGATTTTCAAAAGCGTTTAATGTACTGATGGAAAGTTCAACAGGTGCAAATGCAAAGTATGGTGTCTTCGTTATTACGACCCTCAAGATATAAAATTTGACCCTACGTGGTAATGCAGCCACCCCGTTAATACGGCCAATTTTTTTTTTACCCATTGTTGACTGTATTAATGGGGTTCCACTGTAATACATTGCCTCCAAAAACAATCCCTCATCTTTTCTATTAGGATTTTGGGACCACTGGAATACTGGAATTCTTAACGGAATATAACTAGCCATTGTTGGAGGATACATGTATCTGTGAAAATGCCATCCAGTTGAGAGTTTCTAGTGTTTATTTCTATCCGTTAATTCTTATTCCGGAATATAATCAGCAGGAATAAGCTTTACTTGAATAACCTTGTGATTCATCATTTTAAATTGTTTGTAGTTGTTCATGGTACGTGTTGATAAAGAGCTTACATTTTGCCTTCTGTATGGTTATATAATAATATTGTTATTGTTACTATTCTTATTTTGTTAGGTGTCATTGTGCCTCAGACCATCTGATGTTCTTTTAGTCACATACAATCACATGGATGCCATTAGAGGCTTTGCTTGTGATAATCCAGCTATCAGCAGTCAAGTGGAAAATGTCTACAAACTTTTGTATGAGGTAAATGTTTACTTAACAATGTTTTTGGCACCTGAGGAAACAGGCTTTGTAAGCAAACATACCCTATGGCTTTGTCTGGAAATGGAGCTGGCTTAATGTATGATCCTAATAAGTGGCTACTTGCGGAATTCTAACAGATGTTTGCACAGCTAATACTGCTTAATGGGAATGTGTAAGCAGGGGTGTTGCTAAGAGCTGGCTGCCGGCTAATTTCAGTGGCTGAAAAAGACTACCTTACCTGACTGGCTCAGATCAGTCTGAAAAACAAATGAAGAGATGGGATAATTTTGAATGTGAAGTTGCATAAAAAGCCTGCTTGACTATTAAAAGAAAAAAACCTGCATACTAGTTTTTCCTCAGGTGCATCCCTGGTAGAGTTTAAATTTTGTCAAATGGTAATAATATGTGCATACTCATTCTAGAATTTTAAAACATTTTCGACATATTTCTCAGTGCACTTATACTACATGTAGTAGTATCTATTTAGAAAACACAAGCAAGAAAAAATTAATGCTACAAACCGACATTTTGGAGTCATCATGACACCGGTATCAACTTCATTATGATTGGAATAAACTATGAGATTATGAAATTAGATTTATTCTAATCTTTTTTAACTTGATAATTATGGTGTCGTGAGGACTCCGAAGCATAGTTATTAATAAGTTGGGTTTATTACCTTGACTAGACATATGCCGGTTTGACTGCAGGCCAGTTTCAAATCATCCGTCAGACTCTTCTTTCATTTTTCCAAGACATGCACATTAGGGTAAGTGCACTTTGTTNATTTATTCTAATCTTTTTTAACTTGATAATTATGGTGTCGTGAGGACTCCGAAGCATAGTTATTAATAAGTTGGGTTTATTACCTTGACTAGACATATGCCGGTTTGACTGCAGGCCAGTTTCAAATCATCCGTCAGACTCTTCTTTCATTTTTCCAAGACATGCACATTAGGGTAAGTGCACTTTGTTTCCAGTTAGTGAAAGTCATCTTATTGTGTACCAACTTTAGTTGACATTTGATTGTTGACAGTACATTATTGAGGTCTACAGACCACTCCCTGATTTTATGGGATGAATATTAAGAATGTTTGCCATTTTATTGGTTGTGCACACTTACCCTGTTTCCATGCAAGCTATTAAATTGCTTCATTTTCACGCCAAAAACATGTGATATGCACATGTTCTTCACTGCCTCTCCAAACCATGCAATATAGCAAACAAAAGTGGAATCTCAACTGCACTCTATTAATTTGTTATTACTACTAGTTAGTAGGAGTAAGTATGGCATTTGAAGCACGAAGCTAATGAGGGCTCACTTCATCTCCGTAATTCCTTGAAAATCCCTCATTCAGTGCTTCAGATTTGATGTTGGACTATTTCTAGTTTAATAAGTGACTTGAGTCTTCAAGTTAATGTCTTCAGTAATGGCTGGTATTCGTTCCCTAAGTGTCATATTCTTACCAGTTATTGCTTGGAGTCGTTAACAATATTTGAATTTTGTTACATAATTGAAAATTCCTTTAAAGAGTTCTTGAATCAACAGATTTGCCATGCTTAACAGTTGTTTAAATTAATTATGCAGCAATTATTATGCTTATTCACCAGCACAGCCTATGTTTTTTTGCAAAATTATTTTGTTTTTTAGCCAAGTAACTTCTTTTTTTTAAATTCTCAACAAAACGCTGCATTTCCACATACGTAATCATGAATTAATTTCCTAACTCATTTTACAACTTGTTCCTTTGTGTGCCTTTGACCATAATGTGCTTCAATTAAAGTGAGACAGTAAGATAGTGATTTACAGCTGGTGTATAGTTTTGCGACCATCAGACTCTTCCAACTTACATCCTAATACTTTTTTCTAACCGTATGTCTCACTCTGGTCATGTTTCAGGTTTCTATATTTCTTAAAGACAAAGTTCAAAGTGCAAATGGTAAATTTGTACTAACAACTGACGGCGCTGTGCCATGGGATTCTGAAGTACCAGGGGCCATCAGGTAAGGAAACATAGACTTATTAGACTATGAGCAGTCTCCCTTTTTTCTTAGTCCGTCGAGGAAAACGCGCGAGACATGAAAATGACCACGCACAGGACTGAAGATGCGTGACGAGAGAGGCGCGGCCGCACATAGAAAAAGAATGAATTTTGAAATACACAAATATGATCGATTTAGTAGCAGCTTTAAAACGTCTTAAATTTCCAGCCTACAGTGCTGGGCATTGTAGGCTGGGCGACAATGTAGCTGGGCAAATTTTTCTATTCGCGCATGGTTCTAACAAAGAAAGAGTCCCTGCCGTTTTCATGCATCTTTATTAAATGTCTCCAGCTGAAAATGGACACCCTTGTTGGTTGAAACACATAGTTTGGTTTCAGAAGTCTGAAAATTGCATCTTTATGTAGTATCTTTAAACCATAGCTTGTACTCAAATACTAGGACTCACTGGGTTATTTTTACATTATTTCCGCCGTGAACTGCTCTAGGTATTTTAGCGACGATGGCCAGATTACCAGGACAAGTCATTTTGTAACCGGATGTCGACATCAGCTACCTGACAAACCAGGATCATTTGAGCTTTTGGGTGATAGAGTTATCAAACTTGGCAGTAACATGTAAGTTAAATTGATTAGCACTTGCTTTCAAGTCTGCACCGCTTTCTGGCTGAAGTTTCCCATTTTTCCTGGTTTACACCTGTTAGCTATAATATCACAAAAGCGTACAACTGATCTGTGAACTTTTTAAGTGATCGCAGTGAACCAGTGGAAACAAGGTTTAGTTTTTGTGTGTGTGAACAATATCCTCGGGTACTTTGAACTATGGCTGTGGGTGCGCACACAAGCACACCTGTTGGCCAGGCTATTCTTGTATAAACAAGTATGGCCATAGATCGTAAAAGTTCCTTTTAATTATCACCAGGTACACGGCCTCAAGACCTGTAGAAACAGTACCCAGCAGCCCTGTTCCTTCATCTACTGCCGGTGCTTCTACTGCAGCAAACAAGACTCCCGGAAGCTCTGTATCAGTTACGTCTGAAGTGGTACGAACCAGGTACACGGCCTCAAGACCTGTAGAAACAGTACCCAGCAGCCCTGTTCCTTCATCTACTGCCGGTGCTTCTACTGCAGCAAACAAGACTCCCGGAAGCTCTGTATCAGTTACGTCTGAAGTGGTACGTTAACTTTGTCGCCTCCCACGTAGATATTCTTGGGAATTCGCCTCGGAACGCCTGACGAAGTCCTAAGAACGTCTGCGTAGAAGGCTAACGCGGACTTTATTTATTTTTTATTCTTTCAGTTCTCTTCTAGTCACATCAGGTATAGGTAATCTATGTTTGGACCAACAAATTTCTGTGTTTACGGCTGTCCACACAGAAATAACGTTTACGATCGTTCGCATTCGCCGGCGAGTGTGAGGCTGACCGAAGGAGTAAACGCAGAAGTTTTTATGTACGAGTTTACTATTTCATACAAACGCGCGTGTAAGTTTTCTTAATAAACGCACTTAGTACAAATTCTTCTTCACTCTCGACATTCTGAATTATTAGTGTAGATGACCGCAACTGCAAAATGCCTCCTGTTGAACTACTAAGAAGAAAAGTGGTTTAAACTTAGGCCACAATGATATTTCTTTAAATCCCTTGTTTAATGCCTCTGTCTTCAACTTCTGTTGTGATTTGGTGAATTGACAACTTTTGAAAAAAAATCTGCTGTATATCCATGTGACAATCTACTCTTCTGAACAAATGCGAAGAAGATACTGACAGTCATTTCTTTTATAGCCTGAGAAAACAGCCGAAATTTCCCGATTGGTTGAAGTTTGCTTCAACCAATCAGCACGAACAACCCAAATCTGAGTGGTGTCGCGTCGTTAGTATGTTTTTTTTTTCCACACTTTTCTCAGACGTCATTTCGCGGGGACGGCGTCGCGAAATGTTGGCTGTTATCGCAGGCTATATCTTTCAAGGTTTCCTGTTGTTGTTATAGATGTTTTGTTGTCTTTCTTGTTTGCGTTATTAGCTGATGTGACGTTTGCCTTGCTGTGTTTTTACAGGAATCGTCAGAGAACCCAAACCCACTGGCCAAGGCTGAGCTGAATCTGCTGGCTCATCTCGTTGGTGGGGCAAATAAAAAAACAGAAAGTAAGTTAATCCCCAAAATTCAAAAAAAAATTCGCCTTTCTTGTCTCATAAGTTTGTTACAGAAGTAGTAGGGAGAATTTTAAAAAAATATCATGAGAATTAATAAAAAGGACACTCAAGAACATGCACACGCGCTAGCCTGCGAGCAGGCTCACGAGTTGGTGTTTTTCCTTGCATTCTTTTCGTGTTACTCAAGCGGTTAACAAACCTATAATTCAATACGTAACTTATCGTGATCCCTCAGCTGTCGCACACACACAACTTGACTCCTAGCAGCCTCTGGTCTTAGGGTAACTTGCGTTCCTGAACTGAAGGACAGCCAGCTGTCTGATTCACAGCTGCTACGGCTGTTGAATAAATCCAGCCTTGGCTTATGTCTCACGAGAAAAGTAAGGCTGCGTGCAAACGGACGCAACATTGTTGACCAACAACTCCCAATATTGCTGGATGTTACATGTTGCGTCCGTTTGCACACCCTGTTGCATGTTGTTGGATGTTATTGCTTGTTGTTGCACCAAGTTTGAAACCGGTCAAACTTTTCAGAACAACTCCCAACATTTCTTTTGTTCCGTGATCCCCGAAGCGTAGCGCAACAATGTTCGATCCGTTTGCACAGCTCTTCCATCATTGTTGGGGCCATGCACGCTCATTACGCATGGTTTGCAAAGACTTATGGGTTGTATCCTTCCCACGATGCACTGCAGGTCCCAACATCGTTGGGAGTTGTTGCATCCGCTTGCACACCACTGCCAACACGCACGCAACAACTCCCAACGTTGTTGGCGCAACAACGTTGGGAGTTGTTGCGTCCGTTTGCACGCCGCCTAAATGGAAACAAAACGGCGTCATCATCATTGTCGTCATCACTTCTAAATTCATCATCATGTTCGTACATATTTGACGGAGATACCTATAGCTGTTGTCATGTTCATTGTTAAGCGGTTTACTCACTGTTATTTTCTGTTCGTGTTGTAGATCAGTTTAGATTAAACCTTTTCAATACAGATGAAGAAGAAGAGTAAGTTTTTCTGTTGCTTTTATTGATTCAAAGCCTGCATCTTTGGCACATTATTTGAGTTAACCAGAAACCCATAAGGGGTTTTCAACCCCTTATGAGTTTCTTAGTTAACTAAACGGAAACTTACCACGTTTTGTAAACAGTCTCAGCTCGAAGACCGTGTGGCCAGATCCTGAGAAGTTAGGACACCAACTTATGTCGATCTAGGAAAATGTTAGGCAACGACGACGGCGTTGGCAACAAAGACTTCAAAAAAGCAAAACAACTACTCTGCTGCACGTGCATCACGGTTTTTTGGACATTTCTTTGCCGTCACTGCACGACTACGACGTGGAGGACGTAAACAAGCGATGACGAAGTTTTCTTTCTCTTTCTAAACTTGAGTGCGGTCCCTAAGTGATCAACTCTAAGTAAATTCGCATACATTTCACATTTTCAGCGAAGTGGAGTAAACGCGGCAAAGTTAAAAAAAAACGCGAATTCATTTCAAGAGTAACGTTTTTCATTTGCTGCCGTCGCCGTCGTCGATGCTAAAGCTCCCTATTACTAACATGGTAAAGCACCCAGAACATTCATTTGGGATTCCCTAAAAAAGCTGCCATCGGTACCATGCTTTAGTTAGTTAACGCGGAGTGTGAAAGTTTTACATTAGAAAGAAATTGTGGCTTTGCTTTGATGAGAAGAAAGACAAAATTTTTCACTCCATCAATGTTGTTGCGAAGGTAAATTGGCTGCAGGGATAAAAAACCTGAACTTTCGAGCGCTAAAACAAGATCCCGCTGCTTTGTACCAACTTTAAATTTGCTGTGTTTCTTGCTACAGACAAGCAGCTAACCAGGCTCGCAAAGAAGCTCCTCACCGGGTCATCAAAATTGATGCCACGAAGGTAAGTGGAGAAAAGTAAGGCTGTATTGGTAGATTCCACTATAGGAAGAGGAAAAGCGCCCATACACTTAGCGTCCTCGCGTCATCTCCTTTCTCTTTCCTTTTCAAACGCACGCCACGTTGGCTGTGCTCGCGTAAACACGCACGCAATTCCATTTCTACCTCTTCAAACACATTTACACTTCACTTAGAAATTAGATTTTAGTGTAGTTCCTAGCAAACCGAGCAAGTTGATAGTTTTGACAGGGTAAAAATACAGTGGGATGTTTTCTGGCTAAACCTCTACACGACTTAACAGTGTAGGTGCTGCAGTTAGATGTTATGGGAATACGGGCAGTTTTTTCAACTTTTGACTGGAACCAGTGAGCGAAAATCCGTTAACACGGCTGCAAAGAACGCCTTAAAATCAGTAAAGTTGTCAAGTTTGAAAGTGATTGAAGACATACAACTCCGCAAAGTCGCGGAATTTTACGGATGGTGAGGGACAAGTTCGCGCTAACATGCCACAATATAAACGCCTTTAATATTTCGCGTCTTTATGGAGCAATACCTTCTCTCTCTTTCGATATATCACCTTTGAACTTTGCTAAGTTACCTTATTTTTAAGGCCCTCTCTTCAGCAGTGTCGATGGATATTCTCATACTGCTCTGTATCAAAAGATGAAAAAACCGTGGACTAACGGTCTATTCAGTTATGCTTCGTAACGATCAGAGACCCTTGAAGGTTCAGATCATAGATTACTAACTGCCGTAGAACTGCTTTAGTGTTAAAAGTCAAGATGACTGACAGTTGTTCTTGTTGTTTCTTTGTTCGTTCATAGAAGACACAGAGGCAAGAGCTGGCGCATCTAATGAATGAGTTTTCAATTGAAGGAACTGGTGACCGTAAGTTCAATATTTGATATACTATATTTCCAGAGAACACAGGTGACAGAAGCAATTCAACTCGCGATTTAGATTCCAGATGAAAACCAAATGTCCTTGGCATATCACACGCTAGCACACCAGGAAATACGTCTCCGTCAGTAGCCAAACTGAGGTTTTTTTTCTATGTAGATCGTTTTTTTCCTTCTAATATTTTAACATACTTATATCTCAGTAATTGTTAGTTTTGCCTTACTCGACGGAAAACTCAAACTAAATACTTTAGCAGGGCTGCATTAAGAATCGGTCGGTTATCGAACAGTGTCTGACTAAAATTTTCTCAATTAGTCAGGTCTCTTAGGGTCAGGATCGTTACAGAGTTGACAAAAGCACCAAACTTTGCACAGCGATAGCTTATTGCACTACCATGAATATTAGAGGGGGTGCCCACTGCAAATATGCCACTGAAGCGTGCTAAACAGGATTTAATTATTGTAAATTTCACCTGCTGGGGTCCCTGTGGTGTTTTGATTGAAAATTGTTATTTAATACCTTAAATCACTCTGAATTCTATTCTCAGGTTGTAAACAACAATTTCACTCGAACATCTGGCATTCCCATCCATTTTTGCTTATTGATTGTATAATTAAGTTGATTATTACTGTGCCCTTAAAGCAAGTCCACAGTCCGCCCACATTTTCATAAGTCATTTCTAAGATGGCCTCGTCTTTGCTTCATAACTTGCAAGTACTCAGCTTCTGGGGTCTCTTCTCCTTTTCTAATGTATTTCAATTAGAGGAGGCCTTATTGTGTGGCTTAAGCCTTATTTATGAAGTATTACTTGTCATTACATGTCACTTTAAGCTGAAGAAAGCAAACAAAATTTCAGAAAAAAGAAATTGTCAAAGAGTCTGTTGTATCACATATTATCAGGGATTTATGACAGCTATTCATGAAGAGCAAATAAAAAAATGACAGAACCCAAAATAGTTCTTTCCTAGTGAGGTAATTAATTTTTCAGCTTAACATAGGCCTGGATGCCTTTCACTCTCTCTTTATGCAGTTATCTGCTGGACGCAAGTGCATGTTTTGACAGAGAAGCAAGCACCGTGGCACAAGTCATATCATTTACAATTTCCGCAGTTTGTCTAAGCTTTACAAAGCAAAAACAAACAAAAAAAAATTTGGTCTCATAAACGAAAAAAAGAAACAAGTTAGCCCAAGCTTCAAAAAACAGCACAGTTTATCATGAAGCCTCTACATTTGGCACTAAAGCACTCATGTCCAAAAATAATAACAGCTTATCAAGTCGTAACAGTGAGACTCAAGTGCTACAAGATTGACTCAAATGATAAATGGTGAATAGTTTAACTGCTGAAACTGTAGAAAGGGGCCGGGCTAACTTTTAGGGCCTGTTTACATGGAGGAAGGGGACCCCAGGTAGGAATGGTAACCCACCTAGGTGGGGTAACCCGCCTGTCCATATAATCTCTCATTTTCATTTGATCACGTTTACATGATAGGTGGGGTCACCCTTCAAGGTGGGTAGCCCGGTCTGCCACACCAGGTAACCCTCTCAGCTGAGGTCAAATTTTGCCATGTCAACGTTTCAAGGTGAGGAAATCCAGGCTAGTTGGGGTCGGATTCGAGATACATCAAATTCGCGCAAAATTCACTTTGGCGCTGGGTGGCTTCACATAATTATTAAAGGTA